GGCCTGGGCGGGGGTCGACGGCGTGTGGCCCCAGGTAGGGCGGGCCCCGGGGCACCTCCACCTGCCGCTGGGGCCCGGGGTGCGGGGCCGGGGCGGCCTGGAAGGGCCCCAGGGCCGCGCGTGAAAAACACATTACGGAAAAAAACACATTACGGAAAAATACCGAGTTTGCAGAGGCTGGCGGCCGCGCGGCTCCTGTCCCTTTAAGCCTGTCCCCGCCCGCGGGCCCCGTGGCCTGTAGGAGGCTGCTGAGGTGGCACCAAGTTCTCCACAGGACTCGCAGACCTCAGGCCTGGGCGGCCAGCGGGTCCTGGCGGCCGCGAAGTTACTTTCTTTCTGAAGTCCGGCCCGATGCGTGGTCCGCAGTGTTAGGGCGTCTGCCCTGAGATTCCTGCGTGGGGCAGGGCGGGCAGCTGTGCTTCTCCCGGGGGCCGTGTGCCCCGCGGCCTGGAGTCCCGGTGGCCAGAAGGATCCGTGGGTTCAGTGCTGCCCTCGGAGGCCTGGGTGTTGGGGCCTGAGTACCGGGTCCCTCTGCCTGGGAGGGGCCAGCCGCTAGCCCAGAACCGCGGATGACTGCAGTGTGGGGTCTTGTCCCTACGGGTGAGGCCTGCGCAGTGGGCAGGAGAAGGGCAAGCTTCCCAGCACCGCGCAGGGTGACAGCTGTGTCCCTCGGCCCCATGTGAGCAGGGGGCTCTAGTAAGGAGGGCTTCTGTCCTGGAACTGGCACTGCCTGGGTCCCTTGGGACTGAGGCCAGGCAGAGAGTCCTCTGTGCAGGCAGAGGCAGGAGTGGGGCTGGGACAGCGGGTCCAGCGTGCTGCTGCTGTGTTGAGCCCAGGGCAGATCGACCTCTTAGACACCCTGCCCCAACTGTCAGGTGAGAGTGAGGTCCGGATGGCAGGCTTTATTTTTCTAGCACATGACTCTAAGTCTTGCTTTTAAAGAATCGTCTTGCTTGTTGATACCAAAACTCTCCATTTCTCCTCTGAGTTTACATAGTTCTCCTTACTATGAGTAGCGCCTTTGAAGTTTACTGTAGGGCCTGTGCACTCACCAGCGCAGAGTGCAAGCCAGCCACCAAATCGGGGGCCCAAACCAAGGTCAGCCGTGGGAGTCCAGCGCCTGCAGGCCCAGACCCCATCTTCAAAGCTGTCTGTCTGGAGGCCAGAGCTGCCCGTGGGTCCTGCCAAGCCAGGCTGGAGCGCTGCAGAGACCCTGCTCCAGACGTGAGGCCTGGGGCCCGGCAGCGTGGTGTCAGGGTGGCTGGAATTGCTTCTGAACATGGGCGAGGCTGCCCAGCTGATGCAGGGCAGGGGCGGACCAGACCATCGGTGTCTGAGCTGCAGCCACACGGCCTGCCCCTGCGGGATAGTGTGTGTGCCATGGGCTCATTCCAGTGTGGCTGTCCCTTGGCACCAAAGTGTGCCCGTCCTGGGAATCAGGGGATACTCGGTGGGAGCAGAGACTAGGGTGTGGGCACAGCTCTGCCTGGCGGGGTTGGAAGACGTGTCGGGTCTAGGGAGTGACACTGGAGCCTGAGGCATGGAGTGAGACTGCCAGGTGGGAGGTCAGAGACAGCGTGTGCTGGCCGGGGGGGGGGTCGGTGTGCCCCTGCAGCCAGTGCTTAGCGGAGAGGACTTCTTCCTAACGCAGTACCCAGTCGGCAGGTGGGAACCTGTGGATGAAGCTCCTAAATAGAACACCCTTGATGCCACGGTCCCGCCCCCGCCCCAGCACAGGGGTGTCTGTGTCTGGTGCCACAGCCCCAGGTGGCTCTGGCCCTGGCCTCGGCGCAGTTTCCCTACTTGACTCGGGTCCGCAGTTAGCACCTCTGAAGAATCGTATCCACATTTGCAACCCTGAAGTGCCGTAGCTCGCACCCTCCATGGCGGGTGGGGTGGGACCCTCAAGTCCTGAATCTACACGAGCATGTGGCCAGTTGCCACCGCCTTCCTTACCTGGCCCTGTTCCTGCCACCGCCTTAGATGCAGGCCTTCCTCCTGCCCCAAGGCCCCTTGTACCTGGGAGCACATGTGGTGGTGCAGAGCAGCAGGTGGCCCGGGGGCCTTGCCACTCCGCCAGAACCCACCCTCGCTCAGCGGTGCAGTCCTGCCCAGGTGGCCTTCGACGGTTCCTTCCAGTCCTGTGATTTTATGACCTGGTTTCTAAACCCCAGAAGATCAGAAGGGACTGGAGGACTTTTAGAGGATAACAGCACGAACAGTGTAACTAAAATATCCAGAGGGCTCCTGAAGACGGCGGCTCACGTGACCCCAGAAAGCATAGCGCCGTCAGGCCCGCATTCCGGGAGACGGAGACGGCTGGGTCTGGACCGTGCGTGGCAGCCCCGGGCCATGCAGGCCTGCCTTTCACCACAGTTCAGTGTGGCCCGGCCTTGAAGAGCCGCTGCTGGGCCCCTGGAAGAGTCATCTTTTAAAACAAAATTTCTGGATGGTCTGGGAACCAGCAGTTAGCGTAATGGCTATGTCGCTGGATTCCCACGTAGTCGACCGCGGTTCACATCCCGGACCCGGTGGCTTAAAATTCACGCTGGGCGCATGTGCATGTGTGCCCAAGACCTAGAGGAGAAGGGATTGCGGCGTGACCATCCCCCTTGGGGGGCGATTTCTCGCTTTCTGTCTCTCTGTCTCTGTCTGTCTGGCGAGCACACGCGCCCTATAGCGAAAACTTCTCCCCCCAAAAAAGAAAAAGTTCTGGATGGTCCCAGTTTTACCATGTCACGTGATTTGTTTGAGGTTACTGCCTCAAGAGCAGACACCTCATCTCCCCCCAGGAGCCCGCGTCGGTAGTGCCATGCTGGTTAGTGTGTGAACAGCCCTTGGGCCGTTCCTGGGCAGGGGCGAAGTGCAGGCAAGTAACTTTCCTCTGGTTCTCTCCCTGCCCATCCCGCACCAGCCAAAGCTGGCAGGCTGACGGAGACACCTCGGGACGGACTTCCAGGCTACTGACCATTTTGCTGGTAAGTCCGACCTTCTCGTCTGAAGCGAGGCGCCTGGCAGTGTGGGTGCCGGCTGCACCAGGAGGTGTGCTCCCTACGGGGCTCTCAGTCTCTGGGCCTCGGCCTCTGGCCAGGAGCAGCCTCACAGGCCATGCTGACGTGGAATCTGCCTGTAACTGTCTTTCCTCCCTGTGAGTTATGTTCGTTCGGGGTTGTCTGAATTTGGATCTTGGTCCTTTCTAGGAATGCAGAGCTTCCTTTTTTGAACGAGGAAGAAGTCTTGTGCTGTAAAATTACGCTCTCTCACTCCTTAATAATTGCTTGGCTCTCTTAAATTTCGTGCAGTTGGTGCACGTGGGGCCCTCGTGTGCTGTGAGGCACTGGACTCTGCCCCACATGGCAGGGAGGTCCACCGAGTGGCCCCGTGTTGCCAGGAAGCAAGCCCCGTGGAGCACTGTGGCTACGCCTCTGCCTGCGGCCCCACTCAGGGTTGCTGCCGCACACACGGGACAGTGGGACAGACAGATGAGAGCTAGGCAGGACCACCCTGAAGCGCAGGGTTCTCACCTGCTGCCGGCACCAGGAGCCCCTTGGGCCCTGGCGAGCACCTTGCAGAGACAGGCCGGCCTTGTGTAGTAGCTGTTGCGTGGTCCACTTGGTAAGCACCAGGAGACACGTGGCGAGCACGTCAGCAAGCTCTCTGAGACGGCTGTGGAGGCCTGCCCAGGGGCTGTCCAGGCAGGGCACAGTCTTGGGGTCCGTGACTGGGTCAGTGGGGCAGGCTGCGGACTGGTAGTGCAACCCTGTGGTGGAGGAAGTCCACACGATCTCTGGCCCCAGAGACTGTCTTTGATCACAGGTGGCTTTGAGACGAAGGTTAACCTGTTGTCCTTGGCCCCCATCCATGCCTGTTTTTTCTTTCCATTGCCCAGACTGGGCTGGCTTTTGGGGAAAACGAAGAGGCATCATGCTGGCAGAGGAGAAGAGAACCCTCAGGTGAGTGGCCTCGCTCTGACTCTCCCGTTCTCTCCCTGCTCAGTGTCTCACCGGATTGCGTGGAGGTGTGAGGTCGACCATGAGCTCCGTTGCAGTTTTGACCCAAGAGAGTTTTGCTGAACACCGAAGTGGGCTGGTTCCGCAGCAGATCAAAGGTGATGGCCCTTCTGTGTGTCTTCTTGTCACCCTCTAAACCCTGCTTCCCTGGGTCCTGCCAGGCCACACGTGGCAGGTGCACGCCATTTCGCACTGCAGTGCATACGGGTGGGACAGGCAGCTGTGAGGGACGAGTCCAGGGCCAGTGAGATGGAGAGGGTGGGAACCTAGGGAAAACCAGCAGCGGACTTCCCACAGCTGTGGACAGGCATGGCCATTTCCCAGTGGTGGGGCTGGTGCCTGGGCCGCGGGGGACCCAGAGCTCTGGCAGTCTCAGAGGGGACTTGTGCACTCATAAGTGTCTGGCCAAGACGAAGAGCCGCGTGACCCAGTCAGTGCAAGCGTGTCTGACAGCAGTGGCCGGTGCCCAGGGGAGCTGTGGGACCAGGTGCAGTGTCCGACACCTTGCCGTTTCAGAATCTCTGTACTGTAGGGAAGGATTGGGAAGCCTCATGTTTTACTTTTTGTTTTCTTTTTTACATTTATTTGTTTATTTATCTTTTCATTCATTGCGGTTTTCAAGCTACTGGTCAGCCATGTGGAAATCCAGCACTTTAACCACCATGCCAGCTGCTAGCCCCAGAGATTTACACTTTTCTTATTCTCAAATCTGATGTTGAGGCCAGCAGATGGCATAGTGGTTGTGTTGCTAGACTCCCACATGGCCACCTACGGTTCGAGTCCTGAACCTGGTGGGTTCAAATTCATGCCGAGCATTTGTGCACATGTGCATGCCCAAGATCCCAGGAGGAAAATGGAGGAGGAGGGCTTGAGGCATGGCCTTCCCACTAGGCGGAGACCGCTTTCTCTCTCTGCAAAAATCTCTGTCAAAAAAAAAATATCTGATGGGTATTTGCCATTATAGGACATTCAGTTCACATGCTAAATTTTCATTCAAAATCCCTGATCTGGGGGCTAACAGATGACCTAATGGTTATGTCGCTGGACTCCCACGTAGTCGACTGTGGGTTGAATCCTGGACCTGGAAGCTTGAAACTCACACTGGGCACGTGTGTGTGCTTGAAACTCACGCTGGGCACGTGTGTGTGCTTGAAACACTGGGCACGTGTGTGCGCTTGAAACTCATGCTGGGCACGTCTGTGTGTGCTTAAAACTCACACAGGGCACATGTGTGTGCTTGAAACTCATGCTGGGCACATGTGTGTGCTTGAAACTCACGCTGGGCACGTGTGTGTGCCTGCCCACAATCCTACGAGGGTTATGGAGAAGGGATTGCGGCATGGCCATCCCCGAGGAGAGCTCTCACTCTCGTCTTTGTCTCTCCCCTAAGTGCACATGCCTTATAGCATATCCTCTCTAAAAAATAAAAATAAAAACGAAAAATTCTCTGATGTGCATTTAGAGTTTACAAAATGTTTAATTAACACTTACAGCCTGCTTCCTGCTCACACTGGGGGCAGTGCTCATCCACATGCCATTCCCGGGGGTAGAGCCTGCCCTGGCGGTCTGACTGGCGAGTGGCTGCTCACCAGCCACGTTGGGCTCCTCATGGCTCTCCCTTTCTGGGAGGACAGGCAGCACGCCCAGGTGGAGCCCCTTCCGTCAGCACTGGTCAGCACTGCTCCGTGCCCCGCCCACGTCCCCTCACCATGTCTTCTGCTCGGCCTTGTGGGTGTGGGGCCATCCCATGTAGGCACGCCCTTGCCTTCATGGGGCTCATGGTTCCTGGGTCGGAAACCTGCACGGTTGGGGCCTGTGGGAGAGCAAACAGTTCACTGTCAGAACAACATTCCACGTGGCTCGCTGCCCCTCGGGTGGAGAGATCGGAGCGCAGCTCCCTCTAGAGCGTGTCAGTGCCCTGTGTCTTAGGGTGGGGTACCTCCCGGGCGTGTGTGCAGGCCAGTAGGCCAGTGCATGGCTATGTGTTCTAGGCCTGCTTTTGCTGGACTGTGCTGTAGTTCTAGTGTTGTCCTTTTGGAACCAGTGGAAGACGCTGGGGATTTAAAGTCTGGGAGAGGCCTGCCTTCAGGGGCTCCCCACACAGGGGGACTCTGCCTCAGCCTAGCACTCACAGAGGCCGCAAAGAGGGCCGAGGGCCCGTGGGCAGGCACTGGGGTCTGGTCCTCTGGGCACATACAGTGCCGGGCCTGGTGATTCTGGCTGAGGGCCCCCGTCACTGGGTGCAGGCGTGTGGTGCGTTCTGGGGGCTGTCACGGAGCTCCTGGGTTTTTAGTTCTTAAGTTCTTAGCGTGCTTTGCCCGTGGTGCTGACTGCTGTGTCTCCCCTGGCGCATGTTGGCTGATCCAGTTGCCACTTTAAATCCAGAAGAGGAGAGTGACCCTCCAACCTACAAGGATGCCTTCCCCCCACTTCCTGAGAAAGCAGCTTGCTTGGAAGGTGCTCAGGAGCCCGCCGGGGCCTGGGGCAACAAGATCCGGCCCATCAAGGCCTCCATCATCACTCAGGTGGGCTGTCCTTGCTTAGCTGCCCTGCAAGAGTCTCGGGGGGGGGGGAGGGTTCC